GGAAGGAAGGAAGGAAGGAAGGAAGGAAGGAAGGAAGCAGATTGCTGGTTCAGAGTGTTGAAATGGAATCCAGAAAAGTAGTGCTACCTCTGACTCTGGTCCTCTTGGCTACATTAACTGGTAAGTGACATTGATTCTCTGGGCCTCAACAGTAAACACTCAAGAATGATGATGATTCCACAAAGAGGAACACTTCAAGTCCAAGTTAATTACACTCTAACACTGTTGAGGCTCCAAACTTTAAAAGGTCCTTACCTCTTTGGTTTCTCCTTTTAAATCAAGATGGAAAGATTCTGCAGAGACAAAGGCAGAGATTGTGGTGAGCAGTCTTCCTGGTATAACAGCTCATCTTTTATAGCTGTGTTCCCAGTTCAATTTTTGGTACGGTGAGGGCCCCTACATGCGGTCATGTAGGCAGGGACACAGGGTGGAGTGGGTGAGGTGGGGCAGGAACAGGAAGGCAACAGGTGCTACAAGCAAGTCAGTGACACTGGAGCTCCGGAGAGGATGCCTGCTGCCTGTGTCTGCATCCTCCTTCAACCCTCTTAACTGTTCCTTCTGGTGAAACACCCCAATTTTCCTGTAGGGAAAATGTGGAAACAAGGTGACTTCAGTGGCAATACTGTAGCAGCCTCAAGGGTTGATGTGTTGAGCTGCACGATGGACCAGCAGAGCAGGATGACTCCTCTACCCCTGACCTGTTCGTTTCTCTCACTTCATGAGCTCAGTCATTGATACATGAGCAGGACCATCATGTCTCTGAACGCCAGGACATTAAAGACTGAATACTTGTCAGTGTCAGTACAACAGAGTTGAAGCCAAAACTATTGCTCACATTAGAGGGATAGACAGCTTCTAAGAGCACAGGGCATGAGTGCAGAGTGCTGCTGTCTTTAGCCTCCCCAGGGAAAAGCAGGCTTCAGAGAGAAGCCAAGAAAGCAATGGAAAGCTGAGGCATAGATTTTTCAATAATGACTTCAGAGGACCTGGACCCACAGATGTCAGTTACTTCAAGATTCTGTTACAATTCACTCAAGACAGCTTCTAAGGGCACAGGGCATGAGTGCAGAGTGCTGCTGTCTTTAGCCTCCCCAGGGAAAAGCAGGCTTCAGAGAGAAGCCAAGAAAGCAATGGAAAGCTGAGGCATAGATTTTTCAATAATGACTTCAGAGGACCTGGACCCACAGATGTCAGTTACTTCAAGATTCTGTTACAATTCACTCATTTTCCTATTCAAGACTTCAGAAGTGAGTGTTCCTCTTGCAATAGAAAACCTTGACTCCTACAAGCTCACTGACTGTCATGGCTGGCTTCCACTGCCAATTTGACAAACCCCGTAAGAGAAAATCTCAGTTGGGGAAGTTCCACTATTGCACTGGCCTGTGAGCACGGCTGTGAGGCATTTTCTTGAATGCTGAGTGATATGAGAGGGCCCAGCCCACTATGGGTGATGCCATCCCTGGGCAAGTGGTTCCAGGTTGTATAAGGAAACAGGCTGAGCACAAGCCAGAGGAGTAAACCAATAAGCAGCGTTCCTCTGCTTCAGTTCCTGCCTCCAAGTTCCTGCCCTACTTCAGTTCCTGCCATGGCTTCCCTCAGTGAAAAACTGTACTATAAGCCAACAACCACTTTCCCTCCTCATGTTGGTTTTTATCAGAGGTGTTTTAATACAGCGATTAAAAAGCATACTAAAATGCTGACACTCATTCCAGTCCACACTTTTCCTTGTTGTCCTCAGCAAGATTGTAATGATCAAAATGTTACACTTCAGCTAAGAGGCTTGACTTATTGTAAGTTACGGTTTGACTATCAAATGTCCCCCACAGGCTTGTGTATTGAACTCTTGGTCCCCAACTGTCACCACTGTCTTGTTAGGTGATGGAAACTTTGAGAGGTGGGTGGGTTTAGCTGGAGGAAGTAGGTCACTAGACGTATACCTCTAAATGTTATACCAGCTTGCTGGAGTCCTTCATTCTCTGCTTCCTGTCCACCATGAGGTGAATTACCTCTCCCACTACATATTCCTACTGCCAGGATGTTCTGTCCAAGCATGTAGGGTCCAGTAACAATGGACTAAAACCTCCGAAAGCAGGAAGCAAAATAGGACTTTCTTTAAGCTGTTGTCACTGAGTATTTTGGCTATAGCCCCTCAAAGGAAACTAATATAATGTAGAAAATGACCACTATGGAGCCAGATATTGTGGGTTTTAAACTCACCAGCCAGGGGAGTGTGTGTTGATGTGGAGTGTGTGCGTGCGTGCATGTGTGTGTGTGTGTGTGTCTGTGTGTGCTGAGGTCGCTGTACAATCATATGAGTACTTCCACAAGAACTAAAACATTCTCAGAGTGTGTCCTAGGATCTTAAGTTTCTGAGTTTTTTTCCCAAATACCAATAACTGATGCAGGATTCCTCTTGTGCCATATGGAAAATGGTTGAAATATTTACAGTTTATGACTATGGAAAATAGCTGTGAATGGAGTATGATGTCACATGCCTTTGACCTCATGTCTGAAGAGACCGAGGCAGAAATATGTATTTGCCCTTAGCCAGTGATATCTAGCAAGCTAAAGGTCAACCTGATCTACACAGTGATGCAGGTAATACACTCATACACATAAAAAAAATAAAAGTTAAAAGATATGGATGGATACTATATTGATGAAGTAATATCGATGGACTGAACACATGGATGGATGCATGGATTGGTGGATGAATGCACTGAATAGATGGATGGATGATGAGTGGACAGCAGAGGCATGGCTATCCATAAAGCATACTCTCAGAAAAACTGAAAAAAATGAGTCATTATTATTACAATTTGGATGGATTACAAATCAGCCAAGATAAATTATGACACTTTTCTCAAAAAACTTTGTATTTAACATCCCCATTCTCAAAATTAAAAATGATAGTTACCTTTGGAAATATGGCATTTTAAATTTCTTAAAATCACATCTGAATACAAGAATAGTAAAATATTAAATTTTGAAAGAGCTGGCAGAATATTTTCCAATTTTTCATCAGATTGTTATTGGATTATTTTTTTATTTGAAGTCTTCTAACAAAAAATAAGAATGTTAAATTCCAACTCAGAATTAGGTGGTTGACACTGCTCCCAAGAGGTGAGAACTATTCCAGGTAGTTTGGGTCAGAAGACAGCTGAATGAAAGAACCCTGGCATCAAGTACCCAGAATGAAGTCCATTATAATATACACCTACCATTTTCTGTGTGATCTCCAAGAGCTCATCCTCTGTCTTCTGGCATAGGCAGTGAACAATGACAGCTGATGCGGTGGTTTTGCACCCAGCAATATCAGCAATTTTCTGTACAAGATCACAGGCAACAGCAGAGGTCAAGAGAAATATTGGCAGTCTTTGTTGATGAAAACAGTGGATTCTAATCCAAGTTCAATTTTATAAAGACAGCAAAGACTTGCTGAAAATATTCTAGACTAGCAGGTTGTTCTATGTCCCACAAAATGTTGGCTCTGCTGGTATTTGGAATTGTGACGTGAGCAGCTTACATGGTCACAATATTGTAAAAGTGTACTATCTTAAGGAAAGTGGCACACAGTGGGGCGAAGACCAAGGAATTCAAGACTCCACTGTCTCGTTCAGATGTACCCCCCCTCTCACTGGCCAGTTGGCCTTCAGTTTCCATTGTACATTGAGAAGTAATATGTTGTCCTGCTTTAGAAGGTACCCTGTCTTCCCATTAACTTATACAGAACTGCAGGGTATCTAAATCATGGTTCACAGGAAGCTACTTCAGAACTTGCAGAATGTTGTTTAGATGGATATCTAGCAGCCTTTCTACTCAGCCATTCTCACTTTAAGAATTTCTTGAGCACTTCAGTTGAATCCAACAGCCAGAAAGACCCACCCCAGGGACATCAAAGGAACAGGGTAAAGGTTATACCAGTTTTCCATGATGATACCTACCTTAGTCAAGGGCCTGACATCCTTCACAAACAAACCAGGGGTGAGGACCACCCCACTCTCAGAAATGGCCCTGTGGAAGAGGTTTTTGGCCAAGGGAGACAACACCTGGTTGGGGGAGGAGAGGAAGAGAGTTTATGTGCATAGGAGGAATCAGTGCATCATTTGTCCTTTAAGCTCCCTCCACCTACTCCTCTGCCCAGACTATTCATCTGGGGACTATGGTGCTCAGTGACATGGCAGCTCCTCACTGTTCTGGCCTGCCTTTGAGAAGTTTCTTGGGTCTAAGATCCCCAAGACAACCTCAGTGTGGTGGAACCAGACTGCAGAGTAAGAGAAAATAGGAAGTGTGTGGCAAGTGTTCATGATGACGAAGAAATCGTGTGACAATTCCTAGCCACAAATTCTGTCTCACAATTTGCACTATTCAGAACCTATTCTAAGAAAAACTATCATGAAAAAAAGATGGAAGATGGAGCTCAGTGGTAGAGTTGCTTATGGGTCAAGGTAACAAAAATATAGGAAGGAAGGGAGAGAGAAAGGGAGGGGAAGAAATTAAAGAAAAGAGAGGTGAAATGATTGTTTATAACTGAAACACACATCGTTTATAATAGAAACAATTGGAAATACCCCAAGATCCTAATGTCAGGATTTTGCATAAATAAGCTATTTATCTCTTACCTTGGAGTACTATGAACCTATGCAGTTCTAAATGATAATAGATAAGAATATATGATGTTTAGGGAGATATTTATATCATAAGAGAGAGTTTGGTTTTTAAAATAGCATATTTACATTACAGAGTGTCAGAAGATGGATGGA